CACTGAGCAGCTCGCATGGTGACCATATTTTTTATTTAAGCCTTACCGAAGATCTAATGATAAACAATCAAAACTGATAAAACCTATCAAACAACAACTTGTGATGTGAGGATGAAAGAATGATGGAGTAATTTTCCATTACTCCCCAGGCCATGCACCCTACTAATAAAAGGATAGCACCCACAAATAAAAGAGCCATAACAATTGGTTATGACAGGACCCCAAAGCAGAGTTGAGAACTGGAAAAGGAAGACTTGAGAGCAATTGCATTAGAGAAAAAGAATACTGTAAGGTTTATTTTCACAAACTCTATTCACTAAGAAATGTGACCATCATACAAGATAAAAAGCAGAAAACAACACTTGTTTTTGTCCGTATGTGTTCTTTTTTAGTTTCTGCAAGTGCTATACAGTAGTAATAAGTTTCTTCTGGACTTTTCCCCTCAGTATTTAATCATGAAAAATTTCAAGCACAGAAAGGTCGAATAACCATGTAATGCACACTTGGACACTTATCTCTTAGACTCAGCAAGTGGTGATATCTTCCTCTATTAGTTAATTATTTCTTTCAATTGCTAGGGGTACTTAGACAAAAAGGTACATATTTCAGCATTACATTCAGCCAATCTGTCAGTTATTGAAGTAACACTGTAGATTGGATTTCATGTCATATATCTTATTGTGGTAATGACAAAGATATCACGAGTAAGTAAAAATGTATATATTCACATGCCAGTAGTTTACATGTAGGTGTTCAAACATGGCGTATCTGTTTGGGAGTTAAACAGATCTGGGGTCAAGTGTTATTTTGCCAGCCATGTGTCCTGGCATTACTCAGTTATTCTGTATGCTGCTTTTACTACAACACACTAGGTGAGCTATCGTACGTTACACACTGACTCAGTGTTTCTACACAGGAAGCATGGGCTGGCCCTTCTCTCCCCATTTTACCCACCCGTTTCCAACTCATCAGGCAGCCTTTGAAGAGAGCCGGCATTAAGGAGATTCCAAGCATGCTCAATTACGCCACATTCTAACTTTACCCATCCACTCCTGCTCATATTTCCCTGGCAGGTTCCAGCGATGTCTTGAGGTCATATAAACAAAACCAAAATTCCTTCCTGATTATGGGAGATTTCTTGCACCTCTTTAGGGAACTGGGAGAAAACTGTTTCATTTATCTATGGCTGCATGACCACCTAAAATCACAAAAATTATCTTGTATCTACTAAGCCAGAAATTCCAACAGGGTTTAGGTTAGTGATTTTTATACTCTGGTGTTTTGTGTGGTCACCTGGCAGGAGGTAACTTGTGGTGTAATTGGTCTGAGGTCCACAATGGCCTCATTCATCTACCTGGTTCTTAGTGAAGACAGGTGGAAGGCTGGGTTCGGCCATGCCTGTCTCCCTCCTCAGCAGGCTCAGGGCCTCTCCCATGTGGTCTCTATAGTAAGGTATTGGAACTTTTTCATGGTAGCTCAGGGCTCTAATGGTTCTAAGATGCAGGAAGTGGAACTGCCTATCTCTTACAGCCCACAACTTCTGCTCTATCCTATGGGTCACAGCAATCACCCAGCACTTCCAGATTCACAAGGAGGGGACATAGATCCTTCACTTCATGAGCACGGTGCAAATCATTCCTCATCATTTCTAACCTGTTACAAACACAATTGAACGCACCATATTTGAAGAATCTACCAAAGGGGCACAAGGGAACCTTTCACACACCAGATATTCTGTTAAAACAGCTAATCACTTCTAGGTCTGCAATTGGAGAAAATATGAGCCGCCTCATGCCAAGAGTGAAGACAAGGCATACCTGGAGTCTTCCTTGCACATCTAACTCTGAGAATGGCTTCTGCTTCTCTGGGAGTGGCTTCTCTGCTCAGCCCTGACCCGGCAGAGCCAGGAGCTACAATCTATCACTCATGTGCTAATGAAATCGCTCTATAACCCAGCACTTCTGGGAAATCTACAGGCAAACCGGAGTAGGTTGCTTTCTTTCCATCTGCTTTCCTCCTAAACTTTCCCAAAACTCAGAAAGAAGTCCACTTTTGTTACATTTTAAAGAAGAGAGATGAGCACTTTTTAAGTAAAGGTGTCATGCTTTACACTTTTCAATAAAATTTAATGTTATTAGCTATTGCAATGAGAACTCAGATGCCAGGTGTGCTAATCTTTTGAACAATTAGTTACTGGTTTCAATAACATTGGAGAGCAGTAAACAGTAGCCAAAGCTAATTATATCTTAGGTTAATTACATATTAATTGCAGTTAATTATATTATACTATACTTCAAAACGTAGGGGTTTTTCTTAATATCTAATGAGGCTTGCCATGTAGAGCATGGCTAGTAAATCTTTTTGTTCTGATATGAATAAACAGAAAGCCTCCAAACAGCAAGGCAATCAAGCACTTTCCTTTAAAAGTCAAAGTTCGCTCACCCAGAAAAGCTGCAAGACCAAAGTGTTAGCTTTTCCTCAGTATAAATACCTAAGTCAAGCTACTTATGGATGAAAGAGGTTGATTTTGGCTCACGGTTTTGAAGATTCACAGTCCAAGATTAGGGGTCCTCATGGACTCAGCAGACTGTCTGATGAAGCCCAATATGGCTCTATGAAGCCTGTGCAGAGGGAGAGAGGATCACAGGGTGAACCAGGAACCAGAGGACAACTGGGCAGGTCAGGCCCTCAGAGACCCCTCTAGGGAGACCACCTGACCAAGGGTGCTTAGGTGCCCTAAGGTCTTCCCTCCAGGAAGGCCACCTGACCAAGGAGTGCTTCGGTGCCCTAAGGTCTACCAACAGCCCAACTGTCTCAACCATCCAACTCAGGATTTCCCCCTTCCCGGCACCATCCACCAAAACCCTGGGGTTCAAACTTCCAAAGTCTGCCTTATTTCAGGGACCTCTTTCAGTCATAACAGACAGGTCTTTAAAAGTTTCATGAAAAATGTTTATCATGGAAAAAATACGCCTGGATTAAAACTTTTCCTTTGCACAAAAACCAGTTTGTTTTTCAATCCCAGTTTCTCTTTTTGAAATATTTCTTGGAAATCATGATTTACAGAGAGATGAAGAGACGGAGACAAAGATCTTGCATGCACTGGTTCACATCCCAGGGTGGCCACAATGGCTGGAGTCAAGCCAATCTGAACCCAGGTATCCCATTTCGGTGGCAGAATCCCAAATCCTTGGGCCATCCTTTTCTGCTTCTTCTAGGCCACAAGCAGGGAGCTGGATGGGAAGTAGAGAAGCTGGGATATGAACTGGTGCCCTTATGGGATCCTGGTGCATGCAAGGCAAGTGCTTAAGTCACTAGGCTACTGCGCCAGGCCCTTTGATTAGTTTTACAAGAAATGTTTGAAGTGCTTTTGTAGTTGACACATTTGTAGCCATTGTTTCAAAGTGTGAAATGCAGGGCCCAGCAGCGGCGTGGCCTAGCGGCTAAAGTCCTCGCCTTGAAAGCCCTCAGGATCCCATATGGGCACCGGTTCTAATCCTGGAAGCCCCACTTCCCATCCAGCTCCCTGCTTATGGCCCGGGAAAGCAGCCAAGGATGGCCCAAAGCCTTGGGACCCTGCACCCACGTGGGATTCCCTGGCTCCTGGCTTCGGATGGGTGCACCACTGGCCGTTGCGCTCACTTGGGGCGTGAATCATTGGACGGAAGATCTTCCTCTCTCTCTCTCCTCCTCTCTGTATATCTGACTTTCCAATAAATAAGTAAATCTTTAAAAAAAGTGTGAAATGCAGAAGTGATTCTTGACTTACTTGTATCTAAATACCATCTCTGAAATTACATTGTGTGTGTGTGTGTGTGCATTTAAGTCAAAAGGTGCTTTTAAGTACTAACCTGAGGACATGACACGGTCACGGTTGGTTGTAAGCCCTGAACTCTACTGAAGAAATGCTGTTTTCCCTTTAGGTTCAGAATCTGGTGGCTTCCCTCGCAACTAAGCGGGTTTTACGGCACCCGCTTGGAGCGCAGCCAGTGGATCCCCGAGTGATCTAACGAGAAGGGAAAAGGAGGCAGCTGGTGGAGTTTCAACGACAGACTTTCTGGAGAATACAGTGACAGAGATGGGCAGGCCACTCTGCAATTCGGGGGCTGCCACTACTTATGGCTCAGTTTTTATTTGCACTTTGCAGGTGCTCCTGGAAACTCCGACGACAATTAGCACAGAGTGCAAGTGCACGGCACAGCAGCCCCTTTCAAACTGTAGAAACTGCAGGGCCGCTCTGGTCCGTCCGCACTTGGTCCACGCTCGGTCTGGATCTTGAGCCGCGCTCTGGAAGTGTGTGGGGCCCCGCGGGTCATCGCAGCCCCGGGGCAGGACCGAGCGGTCTCCCCTGCAAGAAGCCTGGGATGGGAATCAGCCGGGAGGACCGTCGCCCCCTTTCCCCGAGCAGCAAACCGGGGGGCCTCCCGCTAAGCCCTCAGTGCTTCACCCCCGGCTCAAGCCCTGCAGGTGGACACATCAGCTCCCTTATATTGCACACTTTCTCTGTGTCGGTTTCTTTTTTTTTCCCCTCTCTGCCGGAAGGAGAACTTTAAGAGCAGCAGGAGGACGGCGGAGGATTTACGGTTTTTAGTGATTTCTGTGGAGAAAGCCTGACGGGGCCCTTGGCTGAAGGAAATCACCCGGTGTGGAGGGCCAGGTCTGCTCCGGGGACGGGGCGGCGTGAGACCAAGCCGGCCTCAGGAACAGGAGAGACTGCCGAGCCTCCGGTTTCCTCAGTCCTCCCCTTGAGGGCCGTGGACTCGCCGTGAGGAAACCGCGGGGGCCACGAGCCGGTCCACGTCCCGGGTGCGGGAGCAAGACGAGCGAGGCGGGGTGTCCCCCCGAAGGCGGCGGGCGCCTGTGCCTTTAAGGGGCCGGTCTCCGGGCCCCGCCGGCCCAGACGCCGGGACGTGCGGGAGCCGCCCCGCCCCGAAGCCGCCTGTTTCCTGCGGGGCGGCTCGGCGGCACCTGAGCGACTGCAGCGGCGGCGGCGGCGGCGGCGGCGGCGCCTCGAGCAGGCATCTCGGGCTGCGGAGCCGGCGCCGCCGCGTCTTCGCGATCTCCTTCCTCAGCCGCTCAGGGTGAGGGCGAGCAGGCCGCGCAGGGGCCTGGGCGCGGGGATCCCGGAGGGAGGGCAGCTCCGCCCGGGGCTGGGCGTGGGGGCGACCCGGGACGGCCGGGCCGCGCCGGGCAGGGGTGGGGGGCGCGGCCCGGGCAGGAGCCGGAGGAGCACCGCCGCCCGCCGGCTAGGCCTTGGGCGTCTCGGGGCCGCCGGCGGGCTCCCGCCCACGCCGGGCCGCCCTGGCGAGCGGGCTTGGCGGGGGCCGCGTGGGCCTGGCTGGGCCCGACCCCAGTTGTGTCGCGGCGTCAGGGAGCGTGGCCGGGGACTCTCCGCGGGCACGGCTCCTGAGGGCGAGGTCGGGAGAGGGCCCCGGGGTGACCGAGGCGCCTATTTTTAGCTAGGCCCGAGGGCCCCCGGGAGAGAAGGCGGATTACCGCCTGCTCCGCCGGGGGCCCGAGGGCGTGCGTGTCCCGTGGCTGGGGCGGCCGGAGAGCTGGGCCACGCTTGCGCCATGCTGGAATTTCGCTCCTCGCCGCGCCCTCCGGGTCCTTGGGGGGGCATTGGCCGCCTTCTCCCTGGCCCTTCCTGCCCTGTGCACAGCAGGGCTCGCCGTGGCAGGCAGAGCAGCGTGATGGGGGAGTTGGGGAAAAAAAATGAGTGGACGGCCCCGCGCGAGACGGCCCAAGTTAGCCTTCCTCTCCCCGAGGGGTGTGTCCTCTTCGGGCGTCCCCTCCCCCTCTGCGCCCAACAATGGGATGTTTGGTGTTGGGGACCTGGGCCGCAAAACCAAATGGGCAGCTCAGAGCCTTGTACGGGGCCATCGGAGCTGGTGTGGAACGTGCGGCGCGGCTTGGGGGAGGCTGGGTGGCAGAGGGGGACGGGGTGCGCTGGAGACGCTACGCGGGCGTGGCGTCCTAACCTCGCCCTGCTGCACCTGGAAGGGGCTGGAAGCGGGCGCTCCCTCGGTAGCCATCCCTTCCGGGAGGAGGGAGGGACCGGATTCCTAACTGTGGGGCCTGAACCGGGAGCGGATTCCTGAGCTGCTGCTTGAAGGAGCGCTGCCTGCAGTCCGTGCGGAGCGACCTAATCTTGACGTGAAGTGTTGGAAGTTGTGGGTTTTTTTTTTTTTTTTTGAGGTGCTTTGTGGGACGCCTTGAGAAATGCGGGTGTCCAGTAGCCCTGCCAGAGATAAGCTCCTCGGGTCGACTCCACCCTCGAAAGGGTGTGGGCGTTCACTTGTAAGTTTGAACTTGGCTGAATTAGGTGGCACTTGTTCTCACAACCTCACTTAGTAGGCTCGCGGGTAGCTGCAGCAAATGCAGCTTCGGTGTGGCTCAAGACAAGTCGCCTGAGACTTGAGCTAAACTTGCCTAAAGCTGATATATGTAAATTTTTTTTTTGGTGGAGGTGCCTTGCGTAGACTCATATTGGATGTGTTCTCTGATAAAAGCTACCCTTCCCCCCCCCCCCCGAAAGACGCAGCTGAAATGGGTGGGCATGTTTTTGTAGATTCTAAATGCATTACCACACCATCCTGACGTTGACCCAGACGTTTCCTCTAGTTGTGTGGCTGGTAACAGAGCTAACTTTCTCAGTTGTCAACTACAGTTAGCAGAATATAGTGTTACATTTACCTTTCTGAGACGTGATGTTACATTCATCTTAAACTGCCACTTAACATGTCACAGGCTAAACATTTTGTAACTGAACATTTTTCTTAAGTATGTTAAACTCTTCAAAATTGTTAAGGATTCCAAGTGTTTAACCCTTTCATGATGATTAGGCATCAGTATTAATAAAAGACCCATTAGTTTCCCGTTGGATTCATATAAATATATGTATCTATGTATATATATATAAGGAGCAGCATTATTGATATATTACCATGTAGAGTGCTTTTTCTTTTTGGATAGGCAGGTTTATAGAGAGAAGGAAAGACACAGAGAAAGCTCTTCAGTTTGCTGGTTCACTCTTCAAATGACCTCAGTGCCCCAAGCTGAGCCAATCTGAAGCCAGGAGCCAGGAGCTTCTTCCAGGTCTCCCATGTGGGTGCAGGGTCCCAAGGCTTTGTGCTGCCCTCGTCTCCTTCCCAGGCCACAGGCAGGGAGCTGACTGGGAAGTGGAGCAGCTAGGACATGAACTGGCACCTGCATGGGATACCGATGGAGGATTAACTAATTGAGCTGTCTTGCTGCCCCTGCAAACCCCATATAGAGTTTTTGGTAATTTTTTTTTTTTCGGGGAGGGGCAGGGCAAGGGACAGATAGAGATATACCTTCTGTCTGTTGGTTCACTTCGCAAATAATCACGGTGGCTGGAGCTAGACCAGGCTCGGGACTCCATCCTGTGGAGGTCCAAGTAATCTGACTGCTTTCAGCATTCCCATGCCATTTGCAGGGAGCTAGATTGGAAGTGAATCAGCTGCGATTCTGACCTGTGCTGCTATGGGATACTGGTGTCACAGATGACAGAGCAGTGCTCCTATCTGCTGGGCCAGTCCCAAAGGCCTGCAATGGCCGAGGCTGGGCGGGCTGGAGGTGGGAATTCCAGCTGGGTATTCCGTGATGAAGTAGGAAGCCAGTCACTTGAGTCATCTCGACTGTATTAATGCAAAGCTGGAGCCAGAGCTCAGGTGCTCTGGTATGGTATCTGAGAAAAATATGGCATCGTTTTCCTCTGGCCATCTCCTGTGTCAGGGCTTCCTCCTACACTCCTTAAAGCCTGCTCGATCTGTCCAGCTGAATGAACAGTTGTCAACCCAAACTTCCAAATTTGTCTTAAAACTTAGGTGTGGTCTAACGGTTGTATCTTATGGCAGCTCTGTCCAGCACTTCCTCAAAAGTAGGAGTCTGTGCTTTTTCTCTTCTTGAAAACAAATCCAGAATCCTGGTGCAAGGCATTCTTTGTGTCTTGATTAAATTTTCCAGGTAGCCACTTTTTAAGAACACTATCAGCACATATGCTGGCAACAGCACTAGCTGTCACTTGCTGTTTCACTTCCCAAATGCCTGTTATGTCCAGGACTGGACCAAGCCCAAAGCTGGGAGCTGGGAACTTAGTTGAGTTTTCCAAGGTGGACAGTAGGAACCCAGCTATCTGAACCACCACTGGTGCTTCCCCCCTTCTGTTTTGGCAGGGAGCTGAAGGTGGGAGTTTGGGCAGGGACAGACACCCAGGCACTGGATGGAGATCTTAAACTTCCTAACTGGTGCCTTTGCACTGGGCTTAATGCCCAGTCCTGTTTAGCTTCTTGACTGATCATCCGGCTTCTGTCCTGGCATTCTACTGTTTTGTCATCACAGCAGCCGGATCAAATCATCCTGTCCTCAAACTCCTGCAGTCGCTTCCTCCTGCAGAATAAAGACAAGTGCTGTGGCTGTAGAAGCTTGCCAGATCCTACTAGTTCCATCTTTCCGGATTACTCAAGTTAACAAGCTAGTCTCCCCTGCTTGTTTCCCTCCAGCCTGCCCCTTCCCCTCTCCCAGGCCCCCCAAGATTCTTGCATGGTTGACTCTCCTGTCAGCTTTCATTTTTGCTTCTTTAGATGTCACTGCCGTGAAGTTCTTCCTGACTCTTTTAAATACAACTGCATCCCCTCCCCTTTCAATCCTTGGGCTCTGCTATTTTCTCCATAGCACTTGCTGCTACCTTTTGTCATAGTATAATTTCCATGTTGGTTACATGTGTGGTCTCTTCCCCTAATCCCAAACACTATCATGCAACCTCTGTGAGGGCGGGAATTTTTGTTTAGGATGCATGGACGGTTTAGGAGTAGACGGCCAGTAAGGATTTGTTGCGTGCATTCCTGCCCTGCAGTTCCTTGAGAAATGCCTCATTCTTGGATGCAGAGTTTTCATCCTGCTTCTTTCCATCAGTGTGGCTGCAAGTGGCTGCAAGGCTGTTGGGAACCCATTGCTAGGGAGAGTGACGTGAGAGTGGGGTTGAGATCCTTGTTCCCACCTCACATGGTTAGGACCTCAGTTCACAAGGACTCAAAATACATGAGTGCCTTAAGTGGTTTTTCACCTAATACACTCAATTTTATTTTTATTTGATTGTCTTTTTATTTGGACCAATTTTTCTCCCGCCCTCCTGCTCTTTCTTTCTCTTAAAGATACATTTATTTGAAAAGCAGAGTTACAGAGAGAAGGAGAATCAGGTCTTTCACTTCTGGTTTGCTCCTCATATGGTTATAATGGCAGAGGCTGTGCCATGCCAAAGCCAGGAGCTTTATCTGGAATTTTGGGCCATCTTCTCCTGCTTTCCCAGGCACATTAATGGAGAGCTGGAGTGGCAGTGGAGCAGCTGGGACTTCAGGTGGCACTCTGGGATGCTGGCACTACGGATGGCGGTTTAACTCACTGTCACCTGACACTGGCCCCATCTCTTTCTTTGACCATGGAGTTTCCTGGTCATCTTTCCATAAATTGTATGCCAGAGGCATTGTCAATGATATCTAGTATTGGTTTCTTGAAAGTGGGATGAAAATGTAGGCCCTGGGAAACTAGGTACAGAATCCTAGATTCTAGCAATCTTCATTAAGGTCTTCCTTAGGATTTAGCTTAATTTTCTTAGAAATAACACCTTTTGGCATTCCTTTCCTAGTTTATTTACATAAGTCAGTGTACACTTAATTGCAATAGAGCTTGCTGTTAGCCAGAAACAGCTTTCTGTAGATAGGCCAATTTTTGCAAAGTGGGAAAGATCCTTTAAGTAGCTTCTCCTTTGAATGAACTCCATAGGAGCCATAGAATTTAAGCAGAATATGAGAATGTCATTTACTCTTTTATTTTGACTGAATAATATTTTCAAGTACAATTAGATTATCAGAATTTACATGAGCTTTAAGTATGTTGTCGATCAAGAGATGTGACATTAGGCTACATTCTCACAGGGAAATGTGGGACAGTTGTTTTTCTTATGTATGAGTCATTTGAATTGCCAAGGAAACGATCTGATTTGGTGTAGTTAAGTCAGTAGCTGGGTGACCTACAGGTCTTGGGTGTTGTTAACTCTGAC